CCCCCAAAAATGGAGCTGCTTCCCGTTCTCCCAGAACATTGATTTTTGTGACCATAGTTACAAACCGCCCCCAGAGAGCCTGTTCTACACCAGACCAGTGGAGCCAGACTGCAGCTGGAGCCCATCATCATCCTCATCTGGTTGTAAGTAGGCAATCTAGTATATTATTCGTGGCACTAAGCTCTAATTTACCTCACATTAAAGAAACACTATAGTCCCCAGAACCACTTCAGCTTAATGTAGTGGTTCTGGTGTCTATAGCCTGTCCCTGCAGGCCTTTTAATGTAAACACGGCGGCACTGCAGCACTGGCGTTAGTTAACATGGCAAATCATATGGCTGGGGCATTGTGATGTCACATGGGGGGGCGGCAAACTTTACTTTTGCCTAGGGCGGCAAAAATCCTTGCACCGGCCCTGGCTGGAGGGGGCTGTGTGAGCTGTGGCTGCACAGTGTCCCATGGTAGTTAGGGTGCCTGTGGCCAGTACAGCTCACACAAGCAAACAGCTGATAAACTGGCCGCACGGAGGAAATGTGTATGTGTGACTGTCTGCCTGTGACTGTGTGTGGCTGTCTGCCTGTGACTGTGTGTGGCTGTCTGCCTGTAACTGAGTGTGTGACTGTCTGTCTGTAACTGAGTGTGTGACTGTCTGCCTGTAAATGTGTGTGTGGGGCTGCAGGGATTTTGTAGAAGGGGGCGGGGGTTTTGTATTGGGACAGGAGTCTTTATAAGGGGGGATAAGCAGGGGATTTGTGGAAGGGCAGGACAGAGGTTTTGTAGGAGGGGCGGGGCAGGACAAGGGTTTTGTAGGAGGGGCTGACAGTGGTTTTGCAAAGTTTACAAATTGTAAAAAAAAAGAAAGAAAACCTTTAACATTTTTTACAGGTTTTTTGGTTTTGGGTGGGGGGGGGGGTGCCAAGCACAGGATCCGCCCCGGGTGCCAAATGCTCTAGGTACGCCCCTGCTTTTGGCAGCTAGTTTTTTAAGACATAGAACAATAAAGATCATTAATTACCAATAATATGAGAGAATGCATGTGGGAAAAAAGGGCTGTTTAGCAGATATATAGAGTGTGCAGTCAGCAAACGCAGTTAGTAGAATGTAAGATATATACAAATGTGTGAGATATATTGCTTTCAGTGTATAAACAAGTGGTACAGTGTAATGAAATCAAATATATATACACAAATCTAATGGCTGGGCAATACTAGCAGAGTCTAGCCTGAATTAAAGTGACAGTGCTTTAATTGTACAGAAAATATGTGGATATAGCCCCTAAGAGCTATCCAGCCTGAATTTTAAAGTGACAGTGCTCTGATTATACAGACAATATGTGAATATGGTCCCTAAGAGCTATATATGTGATAATAGTGAGGTGATATATTGTCACCAGAAAGTGGGTAGCAGATGTCAGCAATATGAACTTAAAGTGACAGTGCTAGATAAAGCAATATTCAAATCGTATACAAAAAGCGTAAGCAGAACATACCAATCTCAAGATATATCAAATTCATAAATCACCTATGCAGATCTCATATAAGGAGGTTGGGTCAGATTGTCCCTTAATAAACTTAAATAAAAAAACGGTGAAATCCATATCAGTGGTGGCAAAAAAAGTTTAAAAAAACACAATGAAAAAGAGGAAAGGGACAGTAGTAAATAGAATTATTCATGTATTCACCATTAAAAACACACATATATATATATATATATATATATATATATATATACTATTATATACATGGGATATGGGTCAAAGGACCAGGTATATATTATAAAAATGGGATGAAAGAACAATTTTCATTCAATCCCTTTGGGGACAGAGTGTTCAACTCAAGAATCAAGAATGTCTCTCGTTGTAAGAGGAGTTTTGCTCTGTCCCCACCTCGATTTGGCATGGGGACGTGGTCGATCGCTACACATCTTAATGTTGAAAGTTGGTGCTGACACTCCAGGAAATGTCGGGCCACAGGTTTGTCTGACTTGCCATCACGATAGGCAAGCCGGATATTTGACCTGTGTCCCTGAATTCTTTCACAAAGCGCAGTCTCAGTTTTCCCAACATAATTTAGGACACATGGGCAACTGAGTTTTTAAATCACGTGATCTGTTCAACAATGTTTCCTATGTTTAATTGTGTAGGTTTTATTCATATTAGGATGGCGGAAGGTCTTTGAAGGAATAATATGACCACAGGTCACACATCCCAGACATCGAACACATCCCGCGTTCGATGTCTCTTGTACTTTTGGTAGATAACAATGTGTCGGATCAGTTTTGACCAGTAGGTCCCTCAAATTTCTATTCCGTTTATAACAGATCATTGGTGCTTGTTGGGTCTCCTCTGGGAGTGTAAAATCCCTTTTCAAGATGTTCCAATTCTGGTTAATCGATCTTTTGAGAGCTGGATTCGCTGTATGGAATTTCATTGGAAAGAGTAATCTAGTTGGAGTATGGTTTAACTCCGTTCTGTTCCTAACTTCTCCATATTTTCTCTTTGCTTCATCCAAGGCTCGGTCCAGGACATTCTTCTTGTATCCCGTGCACTAAATCTTTCATACATCATTTGTAGTTGTTCAGTACATTGGGAGGTAACATAATTATTTTTCAAGACTCTAAGAAATTGCGAGAGTGGCAATGAGTCTTTAAGATGTTTAGGGTGAGCGCTTTTGTAGTGCAGAATGGTGTTTCTGTCAGTAGGTTTTGCATATAACTTATATTCAAGTCGCTTCTCCTTTACTGTTAGTTCAACATCAAAAAACTGTACACATTGTTTATTAATCTTGGATGTAACTTTGACTGGTGTTGGTAGCTTATTAATATGCTCTACAAATTCATAGGCCTCTGTCTCTGTACCATTCCATAAGATCAAAATATCATCTGTAAACCGATAGTATTTAACTATCTGATCTTTAAATTGTTGCAGAATGTATTGTTTCTCAAGTGAATACATGTATGTGTTCGCATACATCGGGGCCATGGGCGCCCCCATCGATGTGCCTGAGATCTGAAGATACCAGTCAGTCTGGAAACAGAAATAATTACATTGTAAAGCCAACTGTAGTAATTCTAGAACAAACTCAATCATTGGTCCCCGATATACTGGGGAGTTAGCCAGAAGGCCCCTCATGGCCTCTATACCCTCATCATGGGGTATAATGGTGTAAAGGTTGTTCACATCCATGGTAATAAGTAGTCCCTCATAGTCACCTATTGTTTGGAGGTCAGCCAGAAGGTCACCTGTATCTTTAATGCATGTGGGGATGGTCAATACTGATTCCTTGAAGAGAAAATCCAAATACTTGGCAATTGGCTCCAAGATCCCATCAGTTGCCGATACACACATACCAGTGAAACTGTTCTGATTTTCCTGCTCTTCCTGAACAGCTCCCAAGCATGTCTTTTCGTGCTTTGTGATATCGTTTTGGAGCCAGAGAAAAAAGAGGTCACAGCTCCCTCATCATCTGTCTTCCAACCATCACTGTACATTTGCGCAGACTAAGCACCTACTGTCTGGTTAGGTAGATGTCTACTCACTCAGCATTAGCACAAGGCTTTTTTTACAACAATTTCATGGGGTACCCTAAGGCGACTGCCAAGGCTGCCTTAGGCTTGTGCTGGCCTTGAATGGAAATCTCCAGAACTCCGCCTTGCCAGTTTGACTTTACACAATGCCTCCATAATGTGTTATGTGTTAAGGTATAATATATTTGTATTATTTGTGCTGCAGGATGGAAAGTTAGCATATTTGTCACCCAAGTTACACTATGAGAGAACTAGGAATACCTAATTTTTTTAATTTATTTTTTTACTTAAGCACATGCTTTGCTATTTACAATTAGTGAGCAAGAGAGATCAATATGTCAGTGCTCACACCTGTTGTATATAGGTTAAAGCTTTCTTTTTCTTTTCATTTCAATGCAACAAAGCATCGACTAGTAATATTCTGCCCTCTAGGTTTTTTTTGTAATGTTAAGAAGCATACTCACCCACAAATACTAGTGATTAATATAAGTGCACATGTGCCCTTTTGCACACTTGCTTTGTGGCATTTCAAGCCTCAAGATACCTCAACTTTTTTTATTTTTTTTTTATCATCCAGAGGGACAGATTGTAACAACAAAACAACAAGCACAAAGAGAACATATGTACCAACGAGAAAAGTAAAATATAGCAATTAAACCAATATAGTAATTATTCTCCATTAGCTTTAAAAGGTAATTTGACAATTGTGAAAGTAATGCGAAGATATAGCTCTGAATTGGCAGATAGCAACATTGTCAATAATGTGGGCCAATCTGTAATTATATTATACAGAAAAAGCACATAAAGCCACATGTGCACAGATTTTGACGTGTTTAGAGTTATAAAAATGTACTCAAATTGGTAAGTACACTCTTAACGTCATGGGCTGAGGACACTTTAGAAAAGCACTTTAAACTGTAATTACTGGAACCTCATAGTTTAGAAAACGAATATTAAAAAATATAACTATTGTGCCTGTATATTATAACACAGTAAATAAAAAAAACATATATTTAGCCAATAAGCGAAGAAAGGTTTTGTTATATCGATTTAGATTTTAACAATTTTTATTTGAGATATATTCTGTAAAACTTCAAATTGCTGTTTAGTGAATAAGCGAGTGAACAGGATCTTTTGTGTTGTATAAATTGGCCTCAGCAGCATCCTATAATGTATGCATGTTCAGATGAGTGCAGCCTCTTGATTTCATATACAGTATTTATATTTGGAAGTCCAGGCCAACTCCCCGGTTTTGCACCCCTCTCTGTCACAGTTGCCTCACTGTCACAGTTGCCTCATTCAAGGGCCACTTTTAATGTTGACCTGCAGAGACTCTCAGAAAGAAATATTTCCCAAGTAAGTGGATTAATCTCATAAGTGCAAGTATTAGGATGCTAGAGTAGGACCTGCCAAGAATGGGGTACGTGATGAACTGAACCTCGTCACTGGTTCTTGGAGCAGTCTATTTGCCTGCCTCTTACCCTGTGACTATGGCCCTGCAATAGACCTGGCTAAAATACTGAACCAGAGACCACCTTGGAGCTTGTTAACATCTATTAACAACTTGGAACGTTTCTCACCGCAGTGTTCTAATTGTTCATCTGGGTGGCCGCAATTCCTATGGACAACCACAAGGTGGCGGCCATCTTGTTCGCATGAACGCATGCAGTGGTGTACAAATCTCCTGGAACTAAAATTGGATACAGAAACTCCTGAACACTGATGGACTTCCATCATCACCTGCGTTCGGTTCTATACAAGTTAGAAGAGCACTGTTCAGTGGGATCATTCGTCTGGATGAAGGGAACAAGCGTCAGGGTAAGACTATTGACTCTGTTTGGTAGTTTGTTCATTTTCAAACTACCAAACTAGACCGACCGCAAGCCCTGATACTCCAGAAATGTTTTGGGTATGAGACCATGCCTGCGGTCGGTCAGATATGTGACTTCCATAAAATTCCTGAACCCCTGAACTGATCTGGGTGATTTTTTGGTCACCCAGATTAGGGCTATCAGGGGATGTATCATTTGTGGGGATATTGTGTGTTTTGGGGTACTTTTGGGACTTTATAGAAATGTGTGTTTTATTCTGTCTGGAGATAAATGGGTTAATACAGTATCTGATCCAATTATCTCCCAGGCAGAGGGGAAGGATTGCGTGCTGTGTGTGGGAGTGTCGTGCCTTGTAACCTTATTGTTATTGGTCTGTGAAGTTGCAAATCAGTGCCACACAAGGTTGCTGTGGGCCTACCCCTTACATGGGGATTGTCATATAAGGCCAAGTGTGGCTCCCATTAAAGAGATATTCGTTGGAGTCTAGGCTCATGTTTGGGGGATTGGAGAACTACATTCACTCTGGGGATTGCTATATCACAATACTTCCCTGAGTATAATTACTAACTCTTATAAGATCTGTTCCTGAAACACACTATCTGGACTAGGAGAGGTCTACCCACTGGAAGCTGGATCTTGGTCTTGGGTCCAGGGTGGGTGGAGGACGGCGAGACCCCAACCAAGCTGCGGTGGTTCATGGGGTCTACGGTGATTATGGTGTTCCAGTACAGTGCTTATGGTGATCTCAAGTAATAGGAAGCAGAGATTGATGGAGGTACCCGGTCGGGGTGCCAGGCGGTACGTCACAGGGTACATTGAGGTTGTGGCAGGCTTATGCAATGTATGATTATATACAGTAACTAAACCTCCATTGTTTTTTGCCTAGGTGAGGTGTTTTTAAATAAAGCTATTACATTCTGTAAAACTGCAAATTGCTGTTTAGTGAATAAGTGAGTGTGTTGGAAGGCCATTTGGCCTGAATTTGTGGGAGGAGTTATGATCCTATATAAACCCTACCTCCCTACTTACCTTTGTCGTGCAAGCTGTTTGTAGTCTCCATAGTTACCTGCACTTCCGGTTCGTTGTTCCCGCCAAGTCCTGTCTCAAGCTGTCTCCAGCAAGCAGTCTGTCGCCAGCAGCTTCTGCCTCCGTCTTCCGTGCCCGTCCACTGGCTTCTACCCGACTTCGCCACTTGCTACCCGGCTTCCGGTCACGAGATCAGCACGTCCACGTAAGCATAAACTGGCGTTCGGCTATTTCCCATGTTCCGGCCTAAAAACGCGGGGATAGGCTCTCTCCCATAGCCAAACCAGGTGTCTCGTTAAGCCCGGCAAACCCTCACCTGTTGATCTCGGTCATACAGTCTGGCTTACCCCTCATTTCCCTACCCGTCCCCCACCATCCACTATCACTACTCCATACGTCTCACCGGCCCACTCTGTTCCAATCACACAGGCCTTATCGCCATTCCCACAGGTACACTCATATGCCCCAACCTATTATCTACATCCATTGACCCTCTTACGGTGGACCACCTTCTGTCCACAGCAATTAAATGCTGGTTTCACGATCGCCTCTTTTCCGGTCCTCACACTTCTCATCTTGGCGTACCATTCCATCGAGGTAGCCATTCACAATACCCTTTAATGCATCTAATCATAGACCCCTTCCGCACCGCACTCTAGGAGCAGCCCTAAGTATTCAACATCTTCGCACAAACCCTCTGCTGGCCGCTCTTAAAAATATTCAGGTCATCCACTATCT